GATGTGGAACCAGGCCTCCCCAGTGAACTGTGTGTTAGTCGTTGGTTGAGAAAATGATTTGGTGCTCCAAGCCAGAAAATATGTTTCTGTGTGATTGTGTAATTTCTTTCCTCTTTTGTGCCGTGGAGACTGTGGCTGACTTAATCATTGGAGACAAGACCTCGTGTAGTAGTTTTTATTTTTCCCTTTTATGCCTTCATGTGCTGCTAAATTATGCAGATTTATCCCCATCTGGCCCCTGCGTTCCTTGATCTGTCCGCCCTTTAGAAACCTATCCAGTTCTCGGCTCTCTTCCATTTTCTCCCCCTTTCTGTTATTGCTGTAGTTTAAGGGTAGAACTGGGCAGACTCATTAGTCAGAGTGAGAACTGAGGGCAATTAGGAAGTCACATTCTGAATGATCTGGAGAGTTAATCCCCTGAAGGAAGAGCAGCAACCTTGGAGAAAACCTTAACCGAAGGGAGGAAGGAAGGAAGCAAACTGATGGGAATTGAAGTTGATGCTAATGAGTACTCCCTGCTTCTAGGCGGTGCCTTTTGCTCACTCTCTTCATCCTTGTCCTCTCGTGCTTGGAAAAAAGAGCCAAAGGGATGTTTTCATGGAGCATGTTTTATCTGGGAGTGCGTTTTGAGAAAACCTATCCTGGGACCCCGGGATAGCTCAATGGGAGAGCCATTCTGCAGCGGTTCGAAGGGGAGGGCTGGGAAATGGAGTGTGGCTTGTTCAGGGACAGATATCGAAATGGCTCCCCAAGGGTCAAGCCCTGGGATTCCGACTCCCTCTAGGCCTGCTCCAGCCTATTCAACTCAGTTGACGCCCCTGGAAATAACTTGCAATACCCCCAGTAGATCCTATGTGGATGGTTTAAATTTTAAGTCGCCAACTGGGGTTGAGAAGATAGAGTTATAGGAGGTTCGGGGACCTCCCTTGTAGACAGCCGATCCTCTGTCTCCGACCCTGTGGATAGGCCACTGTGCACCACCAGGTGTAGCTCCAAAACCAAAAACACCAATCACAAACTATTAATTGTGAGACTTCCAAAGATGAAGTTCTCCGGGGTTAATCGAAAAGCTCTACCCCTTGTCTATAAGTGAACAACTCCTCTTTTCCTGTATATTACCATTGTTTCTGGTGGACACTAGCACGGCGCCATGCCCTTAGAGTCTTCTCATTTGTGAGATCAGGATGATGTCCACAGACATAGGTCAAAGGACTGTTGTGAGGCTCCATTCACGGATACGTGGGGAGGGGTGAACAGCCACTTCTGTGGTTCGGAAGTAGCCTGAGAGAACTGCAAGTGGGATCCTGTCATTTCGAGTTTCCTGAAAGGATGTTACTAACCTGGAAATCTTGTGTGAGATAAGTGTCCACAAAAATGTTGGTAACATGACGTTGACTAAACTTATCAATGTTGTTTCACCACTGGATAATTTTTGAATAATCTCTCTCCCTTTCCCTTGACTCCTTCCTTCATGTTCCTGTCACCTGTCCTCTTGCGAAGTCCTGTGCAATCGATCACCGTACTGGCATTTCGGGAATGACATGTTTTTCCTCCCACAGCAGGTTTTCAGAGCAGGGCCCCGGGAGGAGCTGGGGACCCTGACATATCCACTGCCCCACACCCACTTAGAAGTTGAGTCCAGCTTCCATCTCCACAGTTTCTATACGATGTGTTTTATTTTCATTTTTGCTTTTTTGCTTTTTGGTTCATACCCAGCGATGCACAGGGGCTAGTCCTAGCTCATGCACTCAGGAATTCCTCTGGTCAGTGCTCAGTAGGCCATATGGGATGCTGGCAACCAAACCTGGGTCGGCTGTGCACAAGGCAAACTACCCTACCCGCTGTGTGCTATCGCTCCAGCCCCGTGTCTCATTTTTGACTCTAACCTTCTGCTGTGACGTGCTGTTCCACAGCTCTTCACCTGCCTGATCAATCCCTTGTGTCAGCTGGAGGGGCGGAAAGGCAAAGCAGACAGGAAGGCTTGCTCTGGGAGCGGGCCCTGGACCCTCACAGGCTGAGTTGGCACTTTAAATTTGAACCCTAAGAGACGAGAGACGTGCATCTTCTTGCCCCCCGGGCAGAATAACAAGCTTTCAGCTTTTTCTTATTATTGTTGGCTTCTGCCTCCCTTCAAGGTTTGCTTTTCCATTTCCTTTCTATGCATGTCTGCAAATCTCCTGGGGGTGATTTTCTACCCCACTCTGTGGACCTTATCTTGTCTTTCTCCTGTGCTTTGTCCTAGGCTTCATTTCTGTCTTAATCCTTCCACCCCAATTCCCACCCCTTTTCTTTTTTTATCTCCAAGATGCACTGGCAAGAAAGAGCTCTGTTTCCTCTCTGCCTTGTGTGTGACCTTGAGTCAATTACAGGACATTTCTGAATTAGGCTTCCTTATCTGTCCAAAGGATGATAATACCTACCTGCTCAGATGGGTGTTAGGAGACTCAAATGAGCTCCTGGGACAGACAGAACTTGCAAGTAAGTAGAAGGGGCAATTGATGTCCCTTGTCTCAGTGCCTTAGAGAAAGCAAGTGTAGACCGTAGGACCTTGGCAATGAGGTCATTTTTCAGATCCATCTTTTGCATTCTGGCACTGAAATCCTCCAACTACTGTGTCTTCTTAGTTGCTGGATTTTACTGGGTCCCTCTGACTGTCAGCTAATCCCACCCTGGAAAACCCTCACTCTCTAGCCCATCTTCACCTTTTCCTCATAGGGTTGACCACTTGTCATGCTAAAGAAACTGCTTTTCCGTGCATCGTAGTCAGATGGGGCTTGGGACCAGGGGGCCACTCCTGGCCATACTGGATTGAACTGAAACCCTTGCATATGTTCGGGTTTACCATGTGAGCACCTCTCTAGTCCCCTGTAATTGGTTCTTCTTTTGTTGGGATCGGGAGTCCCCTGGCCCTGGGAGGCGCGGAGAGACCAGACAGACACAATTCCTGCAGGAGTACAAACGGGGTTTATTTAGACCAGCATGCTGGGGCTCCACAGCATATCCCAGAGTGGGCAGTGGCTGAGAGCCCCGAGCTTCTTCAAAGAGGGTCTTATATGGACCTTCACCGGCCGTTACAACAAAGCCCGCGCATTCCATAGCCTATAGATTCAGAAGTCAGCAGTTACATACATCGATTGTTATTATAAGCAAGGTTATGGTGGGAACATTAAGCCTTGGGTAATCTCCTCCAGCCACTGCATCCTGGGTCATCCATCACCCAAGACATTTGCAGGGTTCTCATCACCCAAGACATCTGCAGGATTCTTTATAGGAACAATGCATTCCAGGGACAGTGAATACGCCTGAACCCTGTCACTCTTGGTTTCCCAAGGAGTTACGTCCTGTTCTGCTCACATTCACAAGAAGTTATATCTGGTTGCAAAGCAGCCCAGCAGTTTTACAGAAAGCAATATTGCAAGTTAGCTGAAGCAAGCAAAAACTTAATGCCCTAATATGGATTCTTTCACTTTATCCCTCTTCCCTTCCATTTGCTGTCGTGTTGGTGGTTGTGGTCAGGGGTCATGCACCTTTTGACCTGGGGCCCCACACACTTTAGTAGCAGTGCTCACACACGCTTGGTTGTGGGGTTGGGGATCACAAACATCAGTGCTACTAGGATCATGTTTCACATGTGGGTTGGTGTCAGGGATCAAACTCAGGCCTCATGTTTACAGGACAGGTACTTGGGCTCTAAGCTATCACCCTTCTACTGTAGTCTTAAAAAAATACTTAGGGTATTCGTTTTGGCCTTTAGAACTGCAAAAAGCAAAGAAAACAGTTGATCTTTTGTCTTTGTTTTTTTTTTTTTTGCTTTCTGGGTCACACCTGGCAATGCAGAGTTTACTCCTGGCTCTACATTCAGGAATTACTCCTGGTGGTGCTTGGGGGACCATATGGCATGCTGGGAGTCAAACTTGGGTTCAGCCATGTGCAAGGCAAATGCCCTACCTGCTGTACTATTGCTCCAGCCCCATCTTTGTTTTCCCCCCTGATTCTTAGTTTCTCAATAAAACATGAAGCATTGAATAGAGACTGGTAACTATAAACGTATATGTATAAGATTTTTATGAGTAAAATTATAATGAGTCTGATTTCTTGTTGGACCAAGAAATAGATTATGAGTCAGATTTCTTGTTGAACTTGTCCTTCCTTCCTCCCTCCCTTCCTTCCTTCCTTCCTTCCTTCCTTCCCTCCTTCATTCCTTCCTTCCCTCCTCCCTCCCCCTCCCTCCTCCCTCCCCCTTCCTTCCTTCCTTCCTTCCTTCCTTCCTTCCTTCTTTCTTTCTTTCTTTCTTTCTTTCTTCCCTCTTTCTTTTTGGGACACACCTGGTGGTGCTCAGTGCTTACTTCTGGCTCTGTGCTCAGGGATCACTCTTGGAGGGGTTTGGGGGAATCATATGGGGTGTTGGGAACTGAACCCATGTTGGCCATGTGCAAGGCAAACATTCTACTTGCTGTACTGTCTCTCTGGAACCCTTAGAAAATATTTCTTTTTCTTTTTTTTATTTTATAAGTTAGTTTACAATATTTGATTACATTTATTCTTCAAACACTAGTCCCACCACCATTACACCTTCCTACCACCAAATTCCCAAGCTCTAATCTGTGTCCCAAAACACAACTGAAATAATGTGTTTTGTATTGTCTATTATGAAGAACTGCTGAACATGCTTACAAAACATGCTTCCTTCATATAGGAAACAGTGTGAAGATTGTTCTATTTTGGCAGGAGCCATTAATACATTCTTTAGGATATCACTAGCATGTTAAAAGTTTGGGTGATGTGAGCTTTGGTATATATATATCTGAAAATATGTATATATCATGTATATATATATTTCTCCCTATGATTTGTTGCCTACTGTCTGAACCCCATCAAATGTCGTGTGTTAATTATGGAGAATGGGTAGGGAGTGTCTTATGATGTGTCCAGGAATATGTTCACTCATATTAGAAACCGTTTCTTAAAAAAATGTCTGATACCTTCTTAATGCTTCCCAGGAACCGGATCCTGAGTTACCAGTATGTCAGGTAACAGTTTAGCTGCACCCTTTAGTTTAGAAAAGGCTTTAGATGCTTCCGCTTAGTTGTCATTACAGATTAGAGGCCTTGCTGTGCGCTGCCCTGTGGGGTTATAAAATTAGCCGTGCTTCCCAGACCTTCTGTGGCTTCGTAGCACACTATAATGTTTCTGGTGCTTTTGTGTCTGTAGACGAATAGCCCTTTTAGAACTCTTGCACTTTATTAAGACAAGGAGCTTAAGTAGGAATGATTGCTATTGACCAGAAGCAGGAAAAAATAAAGAAGGCAGCAAGAGGAACCAGAGGCTTTGGCAGAAAGAAGTCAATGGAGTCACATGGCAGAGAAGACTGAACTCTACTGTGGCGTAGGGCAGGACGGTGGAGGAAGAGTAGGCTGACTGTTAGGGAGAGCCTGTCCCTCACCAGACCACAAATCTGGTCAAGTTGGTGAGAGGCAGAAGGGAGCCAGAGAGAACCGCCAGCCGGGTCGGGTTAGAGGCAGTTCTGGTTAGGAGACCCACTACCTGTCTAGTGAAGATTTCCACCCAAAGGGGTTTCAGTAAGGTTGGAAATAATGAAAAAGGAGTGTTATAAACCGGAGAGCTGAAGTACTGCCAGGTGTTTGTCCTGCCAACTGAGAGAGAATTCTGACAGTGGGGTTTTTTTTTTAGGTAAACAATTTAAAAGACATATGGGGTTCATGAGTAATCATCAGACATTTTAGAAGAAAAAAATATGCAAAGTACTTGCCTGTGTAGTATTAAGCAAACACTGTAACTAGGTTAAATTTTAACACTTATTCCAGAGGATGCTTTTGGAATGTTCATATCATGATTTCCTATTTAGAGGTGCAAAACTATTTTTTGTTTGTTTTGGAGTCACACCTGGATTTGCTCAGGGCTTACTCCTGGCTCCGCACTCAGGAATCACCATTGACTAGGTTAAGCGGACAATACATGACGCTGGGGATCTAACCAGGGTTAGCCTCATGCAGGACAAACACCCTAACTATTTTACTATCTCTCTTGCCCCGGCAGAATTATTTTTTGCATAACACGTGTAGCAAGTCATTTGAAAAAAAACATAGTTCATAAGAAAGAGTAGGTTGTTTGTAGTTTTCAATAAGAGTGGAAGGTTTTGATTAAAATTGAAGATTCAAAATTTGCTTTGTTGGTATAAACTAAAAGTGGTATTTGGATGTTAGACAAGCCTCCATTATAGTTCTTCTCCAGGAAGAACCCGGGTTTAGCATTATTCCTGTTTTGCTCTCAAAGACTTAACTCTCTCATGGGTAGTAGTTTAAAAGGGAGTCTTGTGAGCTTACTTTGGATATTTTTGTCTTTCTTTTAATTTTTTGTTTTTGAGTCACACCTGGAGATGCTCAGGGATTACTCCTTACTCTGCACTCAGGAATCACTCCTGGTGGTGCTCAGGGAACCATAGGGGATGCTGGGGATCGGACCCAGGTCTGTGGCATGCAAAGCAGGTGGTTCACCCACTGTACTATGGCACTGACCCCTAAAATATATTTTTACAACTTAAAAATAGATGAGCATTTGCAAAAATAATTTAGTATCCTGTGTCTGTCTAGGTTTCCATTTTCCTAGATAAGGCAGACGTGTTAAATGTTACCGGTGGTGCCTAGAATGTTGGAATCCGGGCTCCATGAAGTTATTCAAATAATTTTTTCAAATACCTTCTTATGTATCTTAAAACTGCTGGCTGTGGGGCTGGAGCGATATAGTACAGCAGGTAGGGAATTTGCCTTGCATGTGGCTGACCTGGGTTCGATGCCTGGCATCCCATCCGGTCCTCTGATTCCTGAGTACTGAGCCAGGAGTAACTTCTGAGCTTTGTTGGGTGTGACACACACAAAAAAACAAAAGCCAAATAAATAAATCACTGGCCTTGATTTTATGTTAAGAGCAGTAGAATCATTTTTATTTTGGGAGGAGGCTTCTCCCAAGTGATGCTCAGGAGGCCGTGCTCCCCTTCTATCCCTCCCTTGGCAGTGCTCAGTCAGCAGTTCTGAATGAGGGTGAGGACTGGTGCTGCCCAGGCCCAGGAGTGCCTTTATTACCCAGGTCACCCAGGTGGTATGAAAGGGCTCCCCGGGCCATACTACACAAGTCTGGGGGCCATTTGGTGCTGGGGATTGAACCCAGGTGCACCTTAACCTCTACACTATCTCTTGGCTCAACCCAGAACAATTTAAATCGTTTTACTCACCAGTAAAGTTTTCACCTTTTCAGATATTTACTTTCATCATAAAAATTGAATTTATCTCTTGGAAGATGGACCAAGTTAGCTTTTTCTTGAGATTAGTTGTCAGCTCTTACTGCAAGAGTAAGGTCTTATAGAGTCAATTTAGCGGGTGCATGAGAAGGGATAGTGTTTCACAGAGGGGGAAAAAATTGCTGTGATGATGATTCATGTAGGAGAGGGGAAGAACATGCTTTTCCCTTTAAAAATGCTAAAGCATCTATTATTTTTATTGATTTCACAGCAGTTCCAACCCATAGGTATTTAAATGCACTTATATAAACAACAGCTTTTAAAAACTGCCAGACCCTGGCATTTATGAATAAATTAATCATAACTGATTAAAACCAAGTTTATGTTTTTATTTGGGTACCAGGGGCAGTTTGGGATCACAGTGCTTTGTTATGTATTTTATTTTAAACCATGATTAGTTTTGAAATTGTTTTTTAAGACAGGCAGAGAATTTTAAGGCTGTAAAAAAAATACTACTTGGCTTGTTTCCAAAATAAAAATGAAAAAAAAATTTTTTTTATGCTTTTCCCTTTAAAAATGCTAAAGCATCTATTATTTTTATTGATTTCACAGCAGTTCCAACCCATAGGTATTTAAATGCACTTATATAAACAACAGCTTTTAAAAACTGCCAGACCCTGGCATTTATGAATAAATTAATCATAACTGATTAAAACCAAGTTTATGTTTTTATTTGGGTACCAGGGGCAGTTTGGGATCACAGTGCTTTGTTATGTATTTTATTTTAAACCATGATTAGTTTTGAAATTGTTTTTTAAGACAGGCAGAGAATTTTAAGGCTGTAAAAAAAATACTACTTGGCTTGTTTCCAAAATAAAAATGAAAAAAAAATTTTTTAAGCCAAAGCCCCATCTGCTGTTTTTATTAAAATCTCAAGAATTGTTCACATTGCCAAGAATGGTTCTTTGCATACAATCTGATGTTTAATCAGGCAGTGATATATGTTTTGCAAGGTCATTTTTTGTTAGGACAGAAGTCAGGGAGATTAATATTTTCAAATGCAAGATAAAATTGAAAATGAAATAATGTTTTCAGTAAGATCTTATTACAGATCTTTTAATATTAAAATTCATATGTATAGATATTTACCTCTTAAGCGTTAGAGTTTAAAAACTGAACAAATAGACCTATTTAGGTTTTTTAAAAAGTGAATTTTTATGGAATAAAAATTTTGAAAGATAGATTTAGTTTTTGTGCTTTGGGTTTTTAGTTTGGGGGGTTGGGGTGGAGATAGTGGATTTGTTTTCCTTTAGCCTACTATAAAAAAAGTATCCCCTTGATATTTGGGAAATTAGTAGGAAGATGGATATTCAGAAGCATGATGAATTGGACTGTGAGGTAGACTGGACCAAGAGATAACAAGTAAGTACTTGAAAATAGTTTTAAAAATATGAGTATGAATGGTTAACAGCCAACTATATATATATATATGATACAATAATAATAACTTAACCTGTAGGGCCAGAGAGATAGTATGGCGTTTCCCCTCCCTCAGGAACCAGGCAGCGCTCTGGGAGGTGGAGAGAGTTTTATTTCGCTAGAGGACTCAGCAAGTTTTGCACCTAAAAGACTGAGCACCCACTAGAGATTTTGTAGTAACAGAACTTCAGAGTCAGGGTTACTCATGGCAGAGTGAGGGAAATATCACACAAGTGTGTCAGGGTGAGACAACACATTGATCTGTAAAAACAGAACCAAAAAAAACCAAAAGAGCAAATAACAACAACAACAACAACAACAACAACAACAACAACAAAACAACAAGAAGAAATAGGCGTCCCTGATTGTAGTAATGAGCAAAGAGAGGGACAGGAGGACTGGAGGATAGGACAGATAGGCTAGTAAGGAGGGCGTTTGCCTTGCACGCCGCTGACCCCATCCTCAGTTCCATCCTCGGTTCCATCCTCGGCATCCCATATGGTTCCCCGAGCAATGCCAGGAGTAGTAATTCCTGAGTGCAGAGCCAGGAGTAACTCCTGAGCATCGCTGGGTGTGACCCAAAAAGCAAAACAAATAAATAAATCATTAAAAAAAAAAAGAGAAATAAAAAGAGAGGGACAGGAACTAGACTTCCCACCACATTGGAAGCAGATTTCTCTTTGCAGTAGTAAAAGTGTTAGGGTGCTTGTCTTGCATCCCATGATTTCTGTTTAATCCCTGGCACCCCAGTATGCTCCACTGAGCACTGCCAGGTGTGATTCCTGAGCATAATATCTGTAAGCACCACCAGATATGACCCAACACATCCTGTACTCCTAAGTCTGTCCCCCTCCACACCACCAGAAAACTTGACTCTAAGAAGTCCATTATACTAGATCACAAATCCGAGACCTGAAGCTTCACCAACTTCTCACCATCCCCACAAAAGTCTGTCTCCGTCATGGCAGCGTCACAGACTCCTGTCTTCTGCTGCCCCCATCTGCCTTTTTCTTTTTGGCTTTTTGGGTCACACCCAGTGGTGCTTAGGGATTGCTCCACCGGAGCGATAGCACAGCGGGTAGGGCGTTCGCCTTACAAGCGGCCAACATGGCCGACCCGAGTTCGATTCCTCTGCCCCTCTCGGAGAGCCCGGCAAGCTACCGAGAGTATTCGATATGCCAGACACAGTAACAACAAAGTCTCCAATGGAGACGTTACTGGGCCCGCTCGAGCAAATCGACGATCAACGGGAGGGCCTTTACCTTTATACAACTTAGATGGTGCTGAAAAATACTGCTGGCTGAAGGAGTGCATTTCTGGTCCCCGGTATGAGGACTCTGCGCGTTTGCGCGCTCCTCATCCTTCCTCTCTCACCTCCGTTGCCCTCATTCAGCCTGGCTGAGTCAGGCATCAGAGGCAGTTCTGTAGCACGGTGAATCCAGAGCCTCCCCAAATTTCCCTTTACACCTCTATTTAGCACCAATTCTGTGCTGCAAGAATTAAGAGTTGCCTTTTCTTCAAGTGTCTGCAGGACACCAAGTTTGTTTTCTGCTTCTACTCTATAGTGAAGCAGAAAGGTAAAACTTAAAGAAGCAATTAAAAAAATTTTTTTTCGAGGTGTGGGGAGGCATGCCTGGCATTGCTTATGGAACCATGTTGCTCCAGGGATCAAACCCATTTCTCTTTCATGCCAAGCATGAGGTATCTCCCCGACTAGTTTTAAACTGTATCACTGTATCACTGTCCTCCCGTTGTTCATCGATTTGCTTGAGTGGGCCCAGTAACGTCTTCATTGGAGACTTTGTTGTTACTGTGTTTGGCATATCGAATACGTCACAGGTAGCTTGCCAGGCTCTGCCGTGCGGGCGAGATACTCTCAGTAGCTTGCCAGGCTCTCCGAGAGGGGCGGAGGAATCAAACTCGGGTTGGCCATCTTGGCTGCGTGCAAGGCAAATGCCCTAGCAGGTAGGGCGTTTGCCTTGCATGCAGCCAAGTTGGCCGACCCAGGTTCGATTCCCAGCATCCCATATGGTCCCCCAAGCACTGCCAGGAGTGATTCCCGAGTTTTAAACAATCACGAAATACTTAGTTCTATACACCCATAGAATGTTTTCAGATTTCTGTTTCCCTTCATCCTTCCCCATACTTTCTAGTAGGTTCCCAACTGACTAGACTACAGAATGCCCGAGGATATATACCGATTAGCTATTGAGAATTGGGACAAATTGATGATAGCACAGTTCAGTATTTTGGGAATTGTTGCATAAAAAAAAATGTAGGTAGAAAATTCAAAAGTGAGCCATGTTAAAAAAGAAAAGATTCCATTCTGAGAAAGTGTGAGGAAATTATATTGTTTGTCAGATATCTCCATGCATCACAGTAGAAGTATAAGGGATGTTCTTTGAGAAAGAATGAGGGAAGTAGGTTTAAACCATCAGGGATGTCTTCATGAAGAATTTGACTTTCAAAAAGAAATACCATTGGTTATTGCTTTATTTATTTGTTTTTAAATGATTTTTCTACTCAAAACTTATTCTAAAAATCTTATTTTATATACACAGCAGAGTCTGGCAAACTCTCCGTGGCGTACCCAATATGCCAAATACCAGTAACAATGATGGGTCTCATTCTCCTAAAGAGCCTTGAATATAATCTCAGGGCTAGGATGAAGGAGACATTACTGGGGCCTGCTTGAGGCAATCGACGAATAACAGGATGATCTGTGATCTGATCTGTGATCTTATTTTATATACAAAATGGCATGTTAAAAGACTTACCAGGTAATTACCATAATTTTATTTAGTAAGTAATTTATATTTGACTGTTTCTTGACTGATAATGGCTTTACCTTCATATATTAGTTTCTTGATCTAGTTCTTTAAATCGGTATACTGGATTAACTGCCAAACTTATGTGAGGAATGAATTTGGATGATAATAATAAATGGCTATGCAGTACTTTTTTTTCTTTTTGGGTCACACCTGGTGATGCACAGGGGTTACTCCTGGCTCTGCACTCAGGAATTACCCCTGGCGGTGCTCAGGGGACTAAGTGGGATGCTGGGAATCGAACCTAGGTTGGCCGCGTGCAAGGCAAGTGCCCTATCCTCTGTGCTATTGCTCCAGCCCCCTTTGCAGTACTTCTTAATATATGTTTTATTTTATTTGTGTTTGTAGGCAGCCTGGATTTTAAAAGCACGGGCGCTAACTGAAATGGTGTATGTGGATGAAATTGATGTAGATCAGGAAGGAATTGCGGAAAAGATGCTGGATGAAAATGCCATTGCTCAAGTGCCACGTAAATATTTTTTTTTCTGTTTAGTAACTAAAATGCCATTGGGTAGAGGAATACTTTATATGAGCACAAAATATTATATACATAAATCATTACCAAACAACCTGGGAGTGACCTCCAGGCGCAGAGCTAAGAGTTGTCCCTGAGCACCAAAGCCAAATGCCAAAAATAGATAAATAAACTTAAAGGTGTGAGATTGGAGGATAGTAATTTTATATTAAATCTATATTACACATTTAAAAATATTTTATATAAATGCATAATATTGAACCGCTCCTCTAAGATTTTAGAAGATTGTTTCTCTGGGAGTCTAAACTCAAGGAGCACCTACATAACAGAAGTGTTATAAATGGGCTTTTAAAAAACTATTCCCTCCAAAGCATCACCTGATTGATCTAACTGAAGATGATTTGCTCTGATGTGTGGCATGAGGGCATGGGGTGATTTTTCTGGGCTCTCAGTGCCTCTAAGAATTGTCATTGGAAGCCTAGTCCCAGCGTGCGGATGAGCTGCTATGAGTGGTACTAGATGCTTTAGCCATGACATATGGTGGCCTTGCTTGTACTTGATTAGTTGTGACAGTCAGCTATATATTTTGGAAGGCAATAGCTGTTTCAAAGTTTCAGTGGAAATTGAGGGAAAAGGTACATGTTTCGTGTTTCAAAAATTTCCTTTTATCCCCTCATGTTGCTTTTATGGAGCTAAAACTGGTAAATACTAGAGCCAGAGAGCTAGGACAGGGGTTCAGGTGTCTGCTTTGCATCAAGCCAACCCCACTTCCATCTGAGTAGTACAGAATCTCTGGGAGCAGCCCCAGGGCATACTGAGCACTGGTTGGAAAGCTCCCTTCTCACCTCCTCCTGAGTTAAATTCTAGCTGTGTGGGTCAGTGATTTTTCATTAGGAAAAGAAGTTTGTATTGAAAGCAAACCATGAGGATAGAACTATCACATTTATATATGGGCTGGAGCGATAGCACAGTGGTAGGGCGTTTGCCTTGCATGCAGCCAACATGGCCGACCCGAGTTCGATTCCTCCGCCCCTCTCGGAGAGCCTGGCAAACTACCGAGAGTATCTTGCCCGCACGGCAGAGCCTGACAAGCTCCCCGTGATGTATTCGATATGCCAAACACAGTAACAACAAAGTCTCCAATGGAGACGTTACTGGGCCCGCTCAAGCAAATCGATGAACAACGGGAGGGCCTTTACCTTTACCTTACCTTGAAACTTTGGGACCTGATAACCTTGGATTTGATTCACAGGTGTAGTAACTGTTTACTAAACTCTCCTAATTGTCCTGTTTACTTAACTCTCCTAAGCCTTCGCTAAATGGGTTAATACTACCCTCCCTACCAGCTTAGTGTGAATATTAAATGGGAAAAAATAAAGAACATGATAGATCATAAGTTAATGATAATCTCAGACATATTTCCTTAAAATGTATTTCCTGTTATTGATATTCTTTTAACTAGGCCAAGCACATTTTAACTAGATTAGCCAAGACATTTTACAATTTAATAAAACCTGTAGATGGAATTTACCGTCTCACCTCCTAGGTCCTGGAACCTCCCTGAAACTCCCCGGAACAAACCCAACAGGAGGGCCTAGTCCAGCCGTCAGGTTTGTGCTGGTTTCCTTGTTTCCTTTCCTCTGCCTCTGAACACCAACAGGCTGTGCTTAACTGTTGCTCTTCAATTTCTCTGTGTTTCTGTTTCATTATTTTTATTTATTTATTTTGAGGGGGGAGGGCATATCTAGCAGTGTTCAGGGCTTACTTCTAGCTCTTCACTGAGGAATTATTCCCAGAGGTGCTATGGGGGACCACATGGGTGCCAAGGATTGAACCCAGCTGCAGCTGCATTGAAGGCAAATGCCCTACCCACCCTACTCTCACTCGGGCTCCTGCATTGATCCTTTTTGCATTTTAACGATCTTCACAGGCCAATCACTCAAGCTGGGAGGCCAATTACAGGTTTCCTTCGGCCCAGTACTCAGAGTGGAAGGCCAGGCACCATGGAACAGGCTATCAGAACACCCAGAACCACCTACACAGCTCGCCCTATTGTCAGCTCGTCTGGGAGATTTGTCAGACTAGGAACGGTAAATTCTGTCAGTGTTACTACAGCCTTGGACTGCCAGAGGAACCTTATGTGGAGTCATTTTCTACTGCTATTATAATGGAAAATTATATGGAGGATTGGCGGTGGGGGGCAGGGTGGCTGGTGGCAGTGTTTGGGGCCACACCCAGGAATCCCCGTCTATGCTCAGGGATTACTCCTGGGGGTATTGGGGGCACCATGCTGTGCTGAGGATTATGCTTTAGCCCCTGGAAGATTTGGAAAGTGATTTTTTTCCTCCCTCTATATTGTGGGTGGAGCGATAGCACAGTGTTAGGGCGTTTGCCTTGCCAGTGGCCTGCCCAGCCGAGCCAGGTTCTATTCCTCCACCCCTCTCAGAGAGCCCAGCAAGCTACCGAGAGTATCTCACCTGCACGGCAAAGCCTGGCAAGCTACCCATGACGTATTCGATATGCCAAACACAGTAACAACAAGTCTCACAATGGAGACATTACTGGGCCCAGTAGAGCAAATCGATGAACAACGGGAAGACAGTGCTACAGTGCTATATTGCCTTTACAATATTTATGCAATTAGACGTGATTTATGTTTCAAAACAGTTTCTGGTTTCTTGTTCTCATTTCCCCCCTAGGCATCCATGCTTACAAGTGCTGATGGACCTTTTATAAATTTATCTAGATTGAACTTAACAAAATATGCACAGAAACCTAAATTGGCAAAGGTATGTACTTAAAATTAATTAATTTTTTTTCTGAAGTGGAGAGGTTTCGAAATGATGCTCAGGGGATCCAGGGACCTCTTTTGCCAGTTCTTAGCCAACTGAGCCCAGGGGTTCGGTTTTTGCTGCCACACCTGCTGCTGGGGGTGGGAGGTGGAGGCAGGGTTGCAGTTGGCAGTGCTTGGCAACCCTAGGGCTATCCCTTCCAATGCTAAGGCAACCATGCGTTGCCAGGGATTGAATTGGGGTTGGCTGCATGCTGTATTATTTCTCTGTTTCTCCTTAAAATGATTTTATGCTATGAATTAATCTAAACATCAGAATATTGTGGGAAATGAATGCAAGTTTGCACAAAAATATTTTCTCATAAATGTAAAATTTCTTTTAGTCTTACATTAAGGAAAATCAACTGGAAGTAAAGTTTATAAACTATTATAGGAAATTCTTTTTCTCCTGGTTAAGAACTGCAGTTTATAATTTATAATAGACAAAGAAGATCTGTAACATGATCTTTGAGGAATAAAGTTTCGGAGGGATCTATATGTATATAATTTTCACTTTTTAGAAAATTAATTTCTGGTTTTGTGGGATTTTTTGACAATTAAAGATTTTTTAAAATGGTATATTCCTTCTAAATAGTAATTAGCAATCTCAGAATTACTACTGAGAGCTGACAGTGACAGGCCATTATATTAGTCATCCTAATTATTTAAAGGTTGAATTTTTTTTTTTGAGAGAGAGAGAGAATGAGGAGAGAGAGGAAGGAAGTTTAAAATTATTCAGAATCAAAAACGCCTGGAAATCTCTGAACTCCGGTGTTTAGTTGTATTTTCTGTGAATTCTGAGTGTGCGCATGTGTTGAGCCCATTCCCGTGTTCATTCCTAGAACATTAGAACATTCCTAGTTCATTAGAACTCAGTTCTAATAGCATTTTAGTCTATCTTACTACATGTAAAAACACACACGAGAGAGTATGAAAATGTCCACTAGCCCTATAGACTTGAAGTTTAAATCCAGAAAAGAAGTGCCCGGGGGTAGATCAGCCTACGTTTATGCTGGTGACGTTTTTCTCGATTTCTTCTCTGACCGGGGTCAGGTCAGGTTGGTTGAGTAGACTCCTGGCGCTCTGCTTCTTTTCCCTTTTGACAGGAGAGCTGCCACCTGGGCTCTCTGACCCTCCTTTCAGACAGTTAACCCGAGGTGGGTGGACACCTGGTTTGCTAACCCAGGAGCATAGTCAGCGGAGACATTTTGCTCAGTTGTATTAGGATGCTTCCAGGGCAGATCTGGTCTGTTACTAGATGAGACAAGACTGGGTTCTGCACTGTCTGGGGTTGCATTTTGGGGCCACATCCAGTGGTAGCCAGGGGCTGTTCCTAGCACAGGGCCAGGGGTGACTCCTAGCTGAGCTTAGGGGATCATGCCGCTTTGGGGATATCAAAACTGGAGCACTCCTGCCCTTTGAGCCAACTCCCTGGCCCGAAATTTGTACGTGTTTAATGTGTTGTAGCACTAATCCCATACATCTCAGGACTCGTGGCTAGTACTGCACATAACCCAGAGTGTCTGACTGCCAAACTGAATCTTGGATGACCTGAGAATCTTTTCAATGCAGCAGCCACACCAACTGCATTCTTTTTTATAATAGGACACACGGGGCCGGGTAGTGTGAGTGTGGGGGGGTAGTGGAGGCTTTTTTTTTTTTTCAGGGCAGGTGGTGTTGCCTCCCAAACAGTGCTCAGAAGATCTGGAGCTCTGTTGCCCAGGTTCAGTGGTGCTGGGAACCACCAGGGAAACTCCAACGGTGCTTGGGGGTCCTCCTAGTTTACCCTTGGATGCTCAGGAGCCAATGTGGTGCCTGGGACTAATTAGAGGTATGCAAAACCTGCACCCCTGGCCCCTGGGCTATCTCCCCAACCCCTTGGTAGAGTTCACTTGTTTTTTCTTTATTTTGGTTGCTTTTAAGCCTTCTTTGTAAAGCACCTTGAGAGCATCCGGGTTGCTAGCCTCTTTGCAAGCATAAAATAAGGGTTTAGAGGGCTACTAAGAGGTAATCAGTAAATATCCACTTATCCAGATAAGGTAAGTACAGAGTCAGGGTAATGGTTCTCAGTCCTGGCTAAACGTAGGAAAAATGTAAGCAAAAAGCAGGTACTTTATATATAAACTCGACTTTGTTTCAGAAAGCATTCTCAGATTTCCCCTGTGTAAACTATCAAGATTGTAATCACTGTATAGTACAGGCAGTGTATAAGAAATTGACTAAATGTTTTAAGATACTCCACAACTTGCTTTTTTCATTTGTTTCTTACTGATAAGATAGTATCTATAATACTAAAAAAAACCATTAAATTATTTGAGTTTCCAGTTTATTTTCTATGAAAACAGAAATCAGTTATCAATAGCCATATTTTAGAATGAGTGATTATATAACAAATAATAGATAAAATCATCACATTAAACCCCAGGTACTTTAAAGGTTTACTTTGCTGTTTTGGTTCAGTCCAACTGCTGTTAAAATGACTTTTTCATTTTGATATAACAATAGATGTTTTTGCTAAAGTTAAATCTAATATACTTTGGCATTGTTTTTTTCTTTTTAGGCCTTATTTGAGTATATCTTTCATCATGAAAATGACATTAAGACAGTAAGTTTTGAGTTCACGCTATAGTTTTTATTGTAATATTTCTGACTTGGGGTTTAGCTTCTAAAAAATATTCTGTGTCTTTTACTCTAAATAGATGGAGTTACTAAAGTAATTGGAAAACTACTGATATTTCAAATCCACTACTAGTTTCAAAAGGGAAATTTGTTTGAATAACGAGGTGGTGAGATGAAACCTGAGTGTGTAACTTTTCTTCAGAGGGCAAAATACAGAGAAAGGGCATCTCTGGTCAAATGGTCATATTAGGCTCACAAACACATGTTAAAAATATAAAAAACATTTTAAAATATTTAAAACCTCCAGAGCTACTTACCCAACTCACAACAATGGTTCTTAACCTCTTGGGGACTCAGGGGGAAAAAAAAGACAGTTGTTGAGTGGCAAAAATAATTGGTGGGGCTGGAGCACAGCAGGTAGGGTGTTTGCCTTTTATGCGGCCGGCCCAGGTTCGATTCCCAGCATCCCATATGGTCCCTGAGCACAGCCAGGAGTAATTCCTGAGTTCAGAGTCAGGAGTAACCCCTGTGCATTGCCGGGTGTAACCCAAAAAGTGTAAAAAAAATTGGTAATAAAATATAAAGCTTTCTCAAAAATTGAGAAACAAATCACACATTCAGTAGAAAAAATGGGAGTAAAAGTGGACAATTCTGAGGAAAAGTTCATAAAGTTGTCCCTTAAAAACTGAAGAAGATCTAAGTGCTGAAAATATTGTAAACGATGCTTGTTTTAGTTTCCTCTTTATACTAGTAGTCAGCATGATTGATCCAGTTTTTACTTAAACATATATTACTGGTTGCCCCCTTCTCTGTAACATTTTATGAAAGAGTATTTCAAACATGCAAAAGTGCAGAGGATAGTATATTGGACCCATACCACCCATCATCAGGACTCATCATCTATCAGCTTGATAGCATCCAAATTTAAAAGTCTTATTTTAAATAATGCACAAGATTTCTCCATTTGTTTCCTTTTGGGGAGCAATTGGGGTTTGGACCATACCCAGCAGTTATCAGGGGTTACCCCTGGTTCTGTGCTCAGGGCTCACTACTGGTGATATTCAGGGGACCATATACAGTGCCAGGAATCGAACTGGAGTCAGCAACATGCAAGGCAAATACTTTAATCCCTGTGCTATCTCTCTTGCCCCTTGTTTCAATTTTTTACATCAATAATGAGTAATAGTATTAAAACTCCATGAAGTTGGCCAAATTGAGTATCATTAATTGCGCAGTGTCTAATGATACTAAATGATACTATTATCACTCCCCCACCCTGTCTTCCGACTTATTTCAGGCAAAAACTTTATATCCATTCATTAAATATTCAAGAAAATACAGAGATTTTCTTCAGTTCTATTTTCTTTATGTCTAATACAAAGAAAATAATGTCTACATTATTTTGTACTGGGAAAACTAATAAAAACGTGGCATTTTTTTCCATCCCCCAACAAGCCTTGCAATCTAGCTGAGAAAATAAAATTGACATATTGAGATAATTAGAGAGATTATTGCCAACTGGAGTGGTTACCTAGTAGCAATCAGGAAGGGTACTAGTGGTAAAAATTCATTAAAAATGCAATTTTATTTTAAAAGGAGGGGAAACATGTAAAAACAAGGATGAAACATGAAATGAGAAATAAGTAACCCATATCCTTAAAGCATGGAAACATCCGAGAGGTCTTTTCAAGCAGGAGGAAGGGAAGAAAAGGCACAGGACACGCCTGCCGCTCTAGGACACTCTGAGGAAATGGGGCAGTGACCAATGGCGATTGGATGGTTAGAGAAGGAAGTCACTTTGTACAGAAGCTGACCTATTCACTCAGAGTCATTTGAGTTTGAATTTGTAAAGGGCTAGTGAAGTGGAGAGACCAGTGCATGCAGGAGGTCAGAGCCTGGATCAGATTTGCAGAATACAAGGGCATAAAGAAAAGTCAGTGGATTTGGTCTTGTAGGAAAAAGAGGAAACTAAGGTTGGGACCCCTGTAAAGCTATACACACATCTGCCAACGAAGGTAGTTTTCATTAATAGAAAGCTGGCCAGAGACCCTCAGTGTGATGTGCAGAGGTATCTGGACTGTGTCACTGAAAGGAAGCATCCAGACCCCAATCATTTCATGAAGAGTAGATCTCTAGTATTGCTAGCAAATCTTAAAGGTTTGCCTTGATGTTTTGAAGATAAATTCATTGATGGACACTTGTTTTTTTTTGTCCAATATTTAAAATATGTATTATAGTTTAGAGAACATGGTTATGTTTATAGCTTTGTTTATATGGTATGTGGTTTAGTAATGTTTATGGTATTGATGCGTGAAGTTACTGCGCCACCACCACTGAAGTTGCAGATATCTACCACCTCTGGTCCATCTCCTTATTCCCTTCCACTGCTTGGCAATCTAAATTCTGTAATCTAAGACCAGGGGTTTGTCCTTGTTTGATACTGGGTATTTTCTTTTCTTGTCTCTCTGATACACGTATCAGTGAGATAACTCTGGTATTAGACCTTCTCTCTCTGAATTATTTCCTTTAACTTGATGTCCTCCAGTTCCATCCATGATGCAGTGAGTGTCATGATTTCATCTTTTCCTATAGCTGTTATAGTATTCCACTATGTATATGTACCACAGCTTCTTTATCCATTCTTCTGTTCTTGCATTATTGGTTTGTTTCTGTATCCTGTTTATTATATTAAGCTGTAATGAACATAGGTGTTCATCTCTCTTTTTTGGATGAATAATTTTGTGTTTTGGGGGGTGGATGCTGAGAAGTGGAATCACTGGGACATATGGAAACTTTCTTCTTACTGTTTTCCATAGAGACTGAACTAGGCAACATTCCCACAATAAGAAGTTTTTTCACCCTATCCTTGCCGACATTGATTGTTGCTAGTCTGTTTGATACAAACCATTTTCACTTGTGTGAGATGATATCCCGTTGTTGTTTGGGATTACAGTTCCTTGACAGTAAGTGAGGAAGAACACTTTTTCATATGCCCACTGGCCACCAATATGTCTTTTTTGGGGGGAAATGCCTTTTTATCTCTTCTTTCTCACTTTTGATGTATTTGTAATTATGTTGTTGTTGAACTTTTTATTTTATTTTTAACATTGGCTCTTTATCTGATGTATTGTCTGCAAATACTTTCTCCCATTTAGTTGGATGTCTTAAATTTTTTTCTTAATTATAGTTTCTGTAAGATGTTACAGTAATGTTACAGTATATGGTATAGATGTACAAATTTACTGCACCATATCACCATCACTGTGCCATGACCCTTCACCACAGTTACTGTGTTACCTCTAGTCTGATCTTTCCCTCTTCCTCTCCCCACAGTGCTTGGTAATTGGCTTTATAATCCAAGGTCAAGGGTTTGTCACTGTTCTGTACTGTCAGTTCCTTTACTAGTCTTTGTTCCATTGTTGAGTGGAACATCTTTGAGTGAGTTGAGTGAGATGGTCTGGTCTTCGTCAATAAGGTGTCTTTTTAGTTTAGCCCTCATTATTTATTTATTTATTTTTGCCTTGCAAAAACTTTTATTTGATTTAGTCCCATTTATTCTTGCTTTTATCTTTGCGAGTGGAATCAAATCATTAAAAACGTGCCTCTGAGTCTATATTCTGGAGAGTTCTGCTTATGTTTTCCATGATGTTTAAGGGATTATGGTTTAATCTTGAGGTCTTTCTTATAGTTTTAAATGATCTTTTATGAATATTGTGAGATATGTTGCAGATCTAATTTCATTTTTTTTGGTTTGCAAAACAGACTGCAGTTTTTCCAGAACCACTTGATGGGCCAAGCTCCTTTGTCATAGATTAACAGTTCATAACTCTGAAGGTTTATCTCTGTGTTCTCAATTCTGTGCCATTAGTTATAGAGTCTTGTCTTTATTCTGTTACCATAGTTTTGATTATGGTAACTTTATAGTATAATTTGAAGTCAGGAAATTCAATACCTCCCATCTCCCATTGGCTCTTTATCTGATGTATTGTCTGCAAATACTTTCTCCCATTTAGTTGGATGTCTTAAATTTTGGGGAAATTTTTGGACCATATTCAGTGGTACTCAAGGTTTATTCCTGGCTTTGTGCTCAGGAATCACTACTGGTTATGGTCAAGGTACCATATGAGGTGCCTGGGATCAAACCCCGGACAGTCATGTGCGAAACAAAACCTGTTGTACTGTCTCACTATACCCCCCCCCCCATCAACTTCCTCCTTCCTTTTTAAAATTAAAACTTGCTTTGGCTTTCAGGGAGTATTAGGATTCCATACATGTATTCAGAGAGTTTGTTCTAAGTCCTTGAAGAATGTTATTGGAATTTTGATGGGGCTTGCTTTGAATCTATGTGGTGTTCTACATAGAATGGTCATTTTGGAAATGTTAATTCTTTTTTTTTTTAATTTTATTTGTATGAATTTTTCACGATGATTTTTTGCATTCAATATTCAAGCACCAATCCCACCACCATTACACCTTCCCTCCACCTTTATTTCTGACAATGTTAATTCTGCCAGTTCATGAATATGAAGTATTTTTTATTTTCTCGTATTCTTTCCTAGTTCTTTTAATAGTAACATAATTTTCAATGTATAAGTCTTCTCTGGTTTGTTTAGTTTTTTTTGTTTTGTTTTGTTTTGCAGGGTTGTTGTGGGGGAGGGTTACACCCAAAAGGTGCTCAGGGCTTACTCCTGGTTCTGCACTCAGGGATCACTCCTGGCAGGCTTGAGGGACTATATAAGGTTCTGGGGATCAAACCCAGGTCTACCATGTGCACAAATTCCCTCCCCTCTGTACTATGACTCTCAACTCTCAGTGTATGTCTTTTACATTCTTTTTTGTTGATTCCCAGGTATTTGATGTTTTTGGACATTATTTTAAATAGTTTTAATAGATTATCCTTTTGATATCTTTCTTTTCTAGTTCTCGTTCTAGTAAATAATAGATTATCCTTTTGATCTCTTTCTTTTCTAGTTCATTATTTTTATA